CTGTTGTTGTTGTTGTTGCTGTTGTTGCTGCTGCTTCAAAGCTGCAGCTTGCTGTTGCTGTAGTAACTGTTGCCAAAGCTGGAAAATCTTTTTTATTTTTTCGTTGAAATTTTCATTTTTTAACAATTTTCTTTAAAAAATATCTCAATTACAATTCGAGACATCATAAGAAGAACAAATTTCGATCACTTCCAAGAAGCTTCAAATTTTACGTTAAAAATCATTTGGCAACCAATAATTTAAAGGAAACTCAAATTCCATTCCAACGGTTATCATTAACTCAACAATTAAATTAACCAGAAGTATCAAATTTCAGATGAAATGACACTAACCTATTCATTCCCAAGTTTACTTTACCTATCAACACAGTAAGTAACCTATTGAATACTGTCGTCAATAGTAAAAACAATCTCACATCTGTGTGATTTGTGCGATTTTTCAAACATTACACAAAAGAAGGTTGCACAAAAAAAGGAATTCACAAAATTAACCAAAAATTTCGGATCGCCAGTCAGCGCACTCAGATGTTGTTGACAACTTTGCGCCTGTTGCTCAGATAATCCCATCGCGAGTGCCTGCTGTCGATAGGCATCTATCAAGGCGGCATTTGTTGAAGGGCTTGAACTAAGACCTGCAATTCAAATGTCGATAAATGCTGTGCATGATATCACGAACGAAAATCACAACAACGAACACTTTTCTGAAGTATGAACTGAATGTGTGAATATTAATAAGGAACTATTCGTAAAAATTCTCAATGATTTCACGTTGTAGTTATTTGGTCGATTCATACCAAATATTGTTTGTCCCTTTCCTGCCTTAAAAAAGCAAATCAAGCGAATCATTCAACTCACCACGACCTTGAAAAAGGGCTAAACGCGCACGTTCGAAGTCCTGTTGTTGTTGTTGTGCTTGCATCAGTTTCAGTGTCATCGCGTACTGAAATATATTATCACATTTCATCACTAACCAAATTCTTCTAAACACATATCTCTGAATCAAATTGATTCGAAACTCTAAACAAATTGATCTAAACCAATTTCTTCTGAATCCGAATGTTTTATTAAAACTTTAAATCAAAACCTTTCAAGAAACGATGCACTAACCAATTACGATTAGACCAAATCAAATCAAAGTACAATCAGTCTATAAATATTTCTTTCCACATGGAACACTAATCGTAAGCATACTCTCAACAAAACATCACTACATCGGTGATCCACCACCAATAAAAGAATAAATTAGAAAACTAACGCAATTTCAATGCACATTGCTTCAACATCTCTCACGATGGCTCTATGAAACGCAAGCAAGTAATTAACTCCCAAAATCGATGACACCATAATCGAAATGAAAAACGACAACCAAACCAACAAACCTGTAATGCTGGATCGAGAGTTGCAAATTGATTGTAGAATGCTGACGCTATTGGTGACATCCGACTGTCGG